TATATCCTCTTTGGAGAAGTGTCTATACAGGTCCTTTGCCCATTTTTAAATTGAGTTTTTTGTTTTCTTGGTGTGGAATTTTGTAATTTCTTTATAAATATCGGATATTAACCCCTTATCAGATGTATCAGAGAATATGTTCTCCCATTCTGTGGGGTTTTTTTATTTTGCTAATGTTTTCCTCTGCTGTGCAAAAACCTTTTAGTTTGATGTAGTTCCATTTGTTTATTTTTTCTTCTGTTTCCCTTGCCTGGGGAGATATATCCCATAACATATTGCTATGAGCAATGTCCAAGATTTTGCTGCCCATGTTTTCTTCTGTGGTTTTTATGTTTTCGGGTCTAAGATGTAAGTCTTTGATCCACTTTTAATTTATTCTTGTGTGTGGTGTAACAAAGTGGTCTGGTTTCATTATTCTGCATGTATCTGTCCAATTTTCCCAACACCATTTGTTGAGTAAACTACCTTCAGCCTGCTGTATGTGCTTGCTGCCTCTGTCAAATATTAATTGACTCTAAAGGTGTGGGTTTATTTCTGGGCTCTTTGTTCTGTTCCATTGGTCTACGTTTCTGTTTTTGTGGCAGTACCATGCTGCTTTGATCACTATGGCCTTATAATACAGTTTCGTTTGTTGGGAGTTTTTTGATTACTGCTTCGATTCCACTAGGTGTAATCTGCCTATTCAGATTCTCTCTTTCTGATTTAGTTTTAGAAGATGGTATGTTTCTAGGAATTTATCCATTTCATCCAGGTTGTCCAGTTTGTTGACATATAGTTGTTCATAATACCTTCTTACAATCCTCTGCATTTCTTTGGTGTCCGTTTTTACTTCTCCTCTTATAGTTCTGATTTTATTGATTTGGATCCTCTTTCTTTTTTCCTTGATGAGTCTGGTTAAAGGTTTGTCAATGCTGTTTATCTTTACAAAGAGCCAGCTCTTGGATTCATTGATCTTTTGTATCTTTTTTCACTATTTTGTTTCTTTCTGCTCCAATCTTTATCACTTCCTTCCTTCAACTCACTTTGGGCTTGCTTTGTTGTTCTTTTACAAATTCCTTTAAATGCAAAGTTAGATTGTTTATTTGAACTTTTTCTTGGTTTTTGAGATAGGGCTGTACTGCTATGAATTTCCCTCTTGGGATTGCTTTCCCAGTGTCCCACAGATTTGGGATTGTTGTGTCCTCATTTTCAATTGTTTCAAGACACCTTTTGATTTCTTCCTTGAACTTGTTGTTGACCCATTCATTGTTTAATGACATGTAATTTAGCTTCTATGTCTTTGTGTGTTTTTCAGTGTTCTTGTAATTGAGCTCTAGCTTCATAGCATTGTGGCCAGAGAAGATGCCTGATATAATTTCAGTCTTCTTAAATTCATTGAGACTTGTTTTGTGTCCTAACACGTGGTCTATCCTAGAAAACGTTCCACGTGCTCTTGAAATGTATATTCTGCTGCTTTGGGATGCAATGCTCTGAAGATATAAATTAAATCCTTTTGATCTAGTGTGTCATTTAAAGCCGCTGTCTCTTTGATTTTCTGTCAGGAAGATCTATCCATCGAAATCAATGGGATGTTAAAATCCCCTACTATCACTGTACTTCTGTCTGCCTCTTACTTTGTGTCCATGAAGATTTGCTCCACATATTTTAGTGTTCGTATGTTGGGTGCATATATGTTTACTAGATTTATATCCTCTTGCTGGATTGTTCCCTTTAAAATTATGTAGTGTCCCTCTTTGTCTCTTAAAATAGCCTTGGTTTTAAAGTCTATTTTCTCGAGATAAGTACTTCTACCCCAGCTTTTTTCCCCATTTGCATGAAATATCTTTTTCAATCCCTTTACTTTTAGTCTGTGCGTATCTTTCAATGAGGTGGGTGTCTTGTAGGCAGCATATATACAGGTCTTGTTTCCATATCCATTCAGCTACTCCATGTCTTTTGGTTGGAGCATTTAAGCCATTTACATTTATAGTGATTATTGATAGATATGTATGTAATGCCATTTTATTTTTGGACTATTTTCCTCTTATTTTTTCTTTCTTCTTATTCTACTTAAAACAAGCCCTTTAACATTTGTTGCAGTAGTGGTTTGGTGTTAACAAACTCTATTAGCTCTTTCTTGTATGGGAAGCTCCTTATTTCTCCTTTGATTTTAAATGATAGCCTTGCTGGGCAAAGCAGTCTTGGTTGTAGGTCCTTACTTTTCATCACCTTGAATATTTCACACCACTACATTCTGGCCTGAAATATTTCTGTTGAGAAATCAGATGACAGTCTGATTGGTGCTCCCTTGTAGGTAACTACCTGCTTTTCTCTTGCAGCTTTTACGATTCTCTCCATGTCTTTAAGCCTTTCATTTTAATTATGATGTGTCTTGGTGTAGGCCTCTTTAGGTCCAACTTGGTTGGGACTCTCTGAGTTTCCTGGACTTGTGTGTTTTTCCCCTTCACAGATTAGGGAAGTTTTTGATCATTATTTTTTCAAGAAGGTTCTCAATTCCTTGCTCACTCTCTTCTCCTTCTGGTATTCCCATTGTGAGGGTGGTGTTATGCTTCATGTTGTCCAAAATGTCTCTTAAACTCCTTTTTTAATTCTTTTTTCTTTTTGCTGCTCTGCCTGGGTGTTTTTTTCTATCTTGTCTTCCAAATCAGTGATTCAACCCTCTGCTTTATCTAACCTACTGTTTATTCCTTCCAGTGTATTATTTATTTTAGATATTACATTCTTTATTTCTGACTGGTCTTTTATGGTTATTCTATCTTTTTTCATGCTGTTGAGTGACCTTATAATTATTACTCTATGTGTTAAATTGCTTGCCTCCATTTCATCTAGTTCTTCAGAATTCTCTTGTTCTTTCATTTGGCATGTTTATCTTCCCATTTTGGTTGCTGCTTTGTATTTGTTTTTATGTATTAGGTCAATCTGCAAAGACTCTGGTGTACGCTTTTGTCAGAAGCTTCTTGTGATTCACCCTGGGCAAACTTTTAGAAGCTATCGGTGATCCACAGCACCTGAATCCCTTTGCTGAGCCTGTTTGTGTGCAGAAGGAACCAGACCGCACACCAAGGCTGGCTTTTATCAGCACCAGGCCTCGGGGAAGGTCAGCTAAAGTCTCAGAGCCCCCAGAGATCCACCTTAGTTATTAAACTAATTAGTGACATAGCCTCAAGCTGTACTCAACAGCCTGGCTTAAGCTCCACAGGGTGGAGCAGAGTAATTCCTGTGGGTAGGGCTATTGTTTCCCCTCAGGCTGATACTGGGTGGAGAGGAATGCTTTGCCTGAGCGAGATGGCTCCTGAAGTATATGGGTTGTGACTCAGCACAGAGATCCTGGTGGTTGCTCCCTCAATTCTCTCCCCAGAACCACCAGCCCCAGACTCTCATGTGTCTCTTGTCCACTCTGCCCTCTCTGCTGGAGCCCAGGGTAAGTGGCTGCAAACAAAAATTTTGTTCATTGCCCTTTAAGAGACTCTGCATTTCCAGCCATCTTTCCCTGGCAGACAGAGACCCTGCTGCTTTTCACAGCTGGATGTTATCTGGGTTCCTTTCTGGCTCTGGTGCTATAGGCTGAGGAGTCCAGCTTGGGGTTTAGACCCCACCCATCTCAGGGGAAACCTGCTGGCCACTGAAATATCCCTCTGGAACTTTAGCTGCCACCTGTGGGAGCCTAGCCAGCCCTCTGGTGCCTCCTCTGCATTCCATACCAGTCTTGTTGTGGTGAAGTGGTTTCTTCTGTCCAGCTAGTGTTCAGTTGGTTCTTCAGGATGATTTCTCTACAGTTTTGTTGTAATTCCAGATTGGTCCTGGGAGGAGGTTAGTGTAGTTTCCACTTACTCCTCTGCCATCTTGGTTCTCTATGGATAGTGTTTTTGGATTTATGTCTTTTAGATTACACTCAAATTTCAGATAATTTTATGTTAAACAGCATAATAACTTTATGTTTTTTAAAGTTCCTGGGTCTCCACAGATCCATGAGCCTTTTCTTACATATACAGCTGTTTTTCTTCTTTTTCTTTCAGTTTTCTCCTCTACTAACTAATGCCCCATTATTTGTGTAATAGAATACAAGAAAACAGCAAAGCATGATCAAGAAATCACCCTCTATCAAAGATGATACTAACATGAGAAAAAAACCCAGAAATAAAAACAAAACACAAAGGATTATGTACTTTGTGAACAAAGAAGAAATTCATGGCAAGGGCAGAGAGCTACCGTTTCCCATTCATGCCTCAAGGCTTGGACATGTGCAGTTCTGGTACCGCAAACTCTGCTGCATTCACACCTAAGGATCTTTGTTTCCTGCTTAATAGAAGGAAGACTTTCTATTAACAATAAGGAACAAGGAGAAACAAAACTGGGAGAAGAAAACAAGGAAAGAGAAAAGAGGGAAAGAAGACAGGAAACAAAGGTCCATATTGCCCTTCAGAAAGCAGACCCCTTTTGGGATGTTGGGAAGGAATAAATATGAGGAATTTTTGTGGAAGGTTAAAGATTTATTTAACCCAGCATTTGAATAGAAATCAAGACCAAAAATATTTAACTGTAAATAATATATTGCTTAATGTTTCCTGCTGTAAACTATACATATAATAGAAGTAAGACAAATAAAATTATGGGAATAGAAACCTAACCCTCAATTCCAATGAGCACAGAGACTACAAAACATACTACAGTGACTTATCAATGAAATCTACAATAGAGTTCAACAATGTGTTAGGTCATGGTATTGCTTTTTTCTTCAATTGATCACATTCCATGTTTTCACTGTATCTGAAACACATCAAATCAAATATTATAAAAATGCAAAGGTTACTAGTAACTGCAACTGATTTGCTTTAAGATTATTAAAATTTTTTTCAAAATTGCAATTAAAATAATAAAAACTGTAAAAGTAGAGGAAAAGTCACTATATCAAAAATATAACTTAAAATCAATTTTTTCTCATTTAAAAAAATTGGAGACTCAAATATAAAAACATAGTTTATTTTTTTCAGACTTTGGTAGTTTATTTTTATAAAATAGCAGACAAAATTTGGTTCTCTATATTAATACAGAATATGTAATACATATCGAAATATATAGCACTTAATTATAAACACATAGCAAAATCAGCATCACTTAAACGGCAACCATATTTTTCTTATCATTAGGAATTCTCAAGAAATAAACAGTTTTTAGCTTGGCTATGTAATAGTCTTTGATGTTTTATGTCAGCTAGTATTTACAAAAGCAAGTCTAAAAACTACCACCACTACAAAAGTGATGAGCTTCAGGGTACAATTTTGTTTCATGCCATAATGCAGACTTAAAATTATGGAAAGCCAGAGGGAACTAATCACTTCAGTGCAACTGCAGTAGGTGGAACTACTTAATTGTGATTCAAAGATGTACACTCGGAGTCCAAGAGAAATGCTTTTGAATCTTCAGTTGTTGGTTTCTTTATGATCCAACCATCTCTTAATCAGGTGAGATTATGTCCCATGATCCTCTAACTGTGATAGAGTGAAGTTGCATAGGGATTGTCTTCATCTCTGGGGGAAAAAAAGGAATATAGCATAAACCAGTGTTTAAACATGTATTCAGGGCTTGCGGTCAATATGGAGGTGTAGGGAGACATGGCTTCCCTCCTCACACAGCTACATCAAAATTACAACTAATATACATCACTCAGAACCATCAGAAATCGAGTTGAATGAAAATGTGACAACTACAGAATTAAACCACATCCATCCAGACTGGTGGGAGGGGCACAGATGTGGAACAGGCTGATCCCACACCCATGTGTACTGGATAAAAATTCAAGACAGGTATCTTGAGAGCGAGGAGTCCCGACACCACACCAGGACCCCCAACCCAAGGTTCCAGTGCAAGAAAGATAATTCCCCACAACTCCTGGCTGCAAAAACCAAGGGGATTAAGTTGGTGGAAGAAACTTCTGGAGCCCCAAGCAGTTTCTCTTAAAGAACACACAAAAGGACTCACCTACTCAGTCCCACTCCCTCTGAGCTCCAGCACCAGGGTAGCTGCTTGAAAGGCACTAGTAGGATACAGGGAAAAACTGAAGTGTCTGGCAGAAAGGTGGGCAGAGGCCACTGTCCCTTTTTTTTAACTGTCTCCGCACAAAGCCACAGAGCCAGCAAGCTGGAGCCGTATCTCAGACTCCATCAACGTGGCTAATACTGCTTGACCTGCCTTGGAGATACCCAGAGACTCAGTCCCACCCAACTTTCCAGCCCAACCAAGCTGCTTTTCCATACAAATGGTCCTGGCTCATGGTTCAATACTTCCAAAATCCTCTCAAACAAGCAACAGCTGGCTTCAGGGAGCCCTGGGCCTGGCACTAGCAGCAGCCAGCCTAGACTCAGAGCTTGGCTTCACCTGGGAATCTCCAAGCCCAGCACAATTAGCAGCCATCTCAGATTCCTTTATAGCTCAGGCAGAGTCGCCCCAGGCAAAACACAGGTGGGGGCTGACCCTGCCCTGCACCACTGGGGATATGCCCACTGTGTACCCAGTGGGCAGCTACAGACCATGTCAAAGCACCACCACCCTGCCCCTGCAGAGCTGATCCTCCACGGAGGATAGAGGGTGGTAGTCAGTGGTCACAAGTCCTTACAGCTGACTGGCCTGGGTAAATCCCTCCCATTGATCTGTCAACAGCAACCAAAGCTCAACTACAAGAAGAAGGTATATGCAAAGGGCGCATCTCTAATACCCACTTGGGTGATAGGGGAGGCTGTGCCACTGGACCCTACAGGAGACCTACAACTTTAGGCCACACTACCAAGGTACAGTTTCAAAGCAGCTCTACCTAATACATAGAAACAAACACAGGGGAGCTGCCAAAATGAGGAGAAAAAGAAACATGACCCAAATGAAAGAATAGATCAAAACTCCAGAAAAAGAGCTAAACAAAATGAAGACAAGCAATCTATCAGATGCAGAGTTCAAAACACTGGTCATAAGGAGTTCAAGGAACTTAGTGAGGACCTCAACAGCATAAAAAAGACCCAGTCAGAAACAAAGGATACACTATTGAAATAAAGAACAATTTACAGGGAAACAACAGTAGAGTGGATGAAGCCAAGAATCAAACCAATGATTTGGAACATAAGGAAGCAAAAAACAACCAATTAGAACAATAGGAAGAAAAAAGAATCTAAATTAAAAAATGAGGACAGTTTAAGCAGCCTCTGGGACAGCAAAGAGGTCTAACATTTGCATCATAGGGGTGCCAGAAGGAGAAAAGAAAGAACAAGAAATTGGAAATCTATTAGAAAAAAATAATTTAAGAAAACTTACTTACTCTGGTAAAGGAAATAGACATGCAAGTCTAGAAAGTACAGAGTCCCAAACAAGATGGATGCAAAGACGCCCACTCCAAGAACCATCATAATAAAAATGTCAAACGTTAGGATAAAGAAGGAATCTTAAAAGCAGCAAGAGAAAAGATAGTGGTTTCCTACAAGGGAGTTCCCATAAGACTGTCAGCTGATTTCTCAAAAGGAATTTGGCAAGAGAAGGGATTGGCAAGAAATACTCAAAGTCATGAAAAGCAGGGACCTACAGCCACAACTGCTCTACCCAGCAAAGATATCATTTAGAATTGAAGCGCAGATAAAGAGCTTCCCAGACAAGAAAACGAAGGGAGTTAATCATAACCAAACCATTATTATATGAAATGTAAAAGGGACTTATTTAAGAAAAAGAAGATCAAAACTATGAACAATAAAATGGCAATACATATCTATCAACAATTGAGTCTAAAAAACAAACTAAGTAAACAAGAGGAACAGAGACAGAATTGTAGATGCGGAGAGCATTTTGATGGTTTCCAGATGGGAGGGCACTGTGGGCAATGGGTGAGGAGGTGAGGGGATTAAGAAGTACAACTAGGCAGTCACAGAATAGCCATGGGCATGTAAAGTACAGTATGGGACATGGAGTAGCCAAAGAACCTACACACATGGCCCATGGACATGAATAATGGTGCGGGGATTGCCTGACGGAGTAGGGTGGGCTGGGTGGAGGCAGGAAAATGGGGAAAAAGCAGGACAACTGTAATAGCATAATCAATAAAATATAATTTTAAAAAAACTGTATTCAGAAAACTAACACATACACTTACCATACAACTTCATATCCACTTTCCAAGAAGTGCAGATATGTGTCAACTTATTGTGCATGCCCTGAAAGTTTATGAAATGCGAATAGGCATTGAGGTGTACCTTACTGACTCCATTTTATTGGTACCTCAGTTATTGTAAGAAAGAAAGGTGCTTGCTATATATTTATATTTATTTATATTACATTTAAATAAAGTAACTTAAAAATTAATTATATTCTATATCTGTTTATATTTTTAATATTTCGCTTCTTTCTCAAAAGGATTTGGGGTGCCTACAACAAAGGGGATACATGTGAGATGAATAAAATAGAAAGTAAAAATCAGGACAAAAGAGAAGGATACAAATATATTAAGCATAAGAAATAGTATAGTGGTTCAACTGAGCACCAATTTTAGTTGCAATCTTTGTGGTAGTCAGGGCACAAAAGGAAACACAGTAGATTGGGCCATTTTTGAAAGAAAAAGAAAGAAAAGAAAGAAGGAAAGAAGTGAAGGGAAGGGGAGAGAGAAAGAGAAAGAGAGAGAGAAAGACAGAAAGAAAGACAGACAGACAGACAGAAAGAAAGAAAGGCAGACAGAAAGAAAGAAAGAAAGAAAGGCAGACAGAAAGAAAGAAAGAAAGAAAGAAAGAAAGAAAGAAAGAAAGAAAGAAAGAAAGAAAGAAAGAAAGAAAGAAAGAAAGAAAGAAAGAAAGGCAGAAAGAAAGAAAGAAAGGCAGACAGAAAGAAAGAAAGAAAGAAAGAAAGAAAGAAAGAAAGAAAGAAAGAAAGAAAGAAAGAAAGACAGAAAGAAAGAAAAAGAAAGAAAGAAAGAAAGAAAGAAAGAAAGAAAGAAAGAAAGACAGAAAGACAGACAGAAAGAAAAAAAGAAGAAAGGAAGAAAGAAAGACAGACAGACAGCAGAAAGAAAGACCAATATTAGAGGGGAAAGAAAGGTTTGCCCTAGTACCAAATTAAAGAACAAAGGAAAAACTCACATGAAATCTTACGTAAAAAAACATCTGGCAACAAACAATGTACAATATCCTTGACAAATTTTTAAGGTTCAGTATTTTACAAAGCATTCTCTAGGGCATTGCTTCCTTTGAGAGTGTCAACTAGATGTCTCTACTTGGCTGCTATCCGTAATCGCTAGCTGGACAAGTTATGCAATTAAAGCAAAGAAGCAAACTTTTTATAATAAATCACAGTGACAAAGCGTTGCAACAGATAAAGTCTTATTGCAGAATACAGTGGCTCTGTTTAGATTTCATATATTAAAAATGCCTTTCTGGAATTAAAACATAGTTTTTCTTAAGCAAAAAAAGAAAAGAAAATTTGACCAAGTAAAAACATCTTAGTCATTTATTCAGCCTCTGACACTTTATCAGAGCATATTTACCTGCTTTCTTCTTTCAGTTTCTTGGCTGCCTGTGTTGATAACTGAATCTGCAAGTCCAGCCTCTGCAGGAAATCTTTGGCTGACACTTCCTCAGGCGTCACAGGCTGAGCATCAGGCGCTTGAGGACTGGGAGGAGGCAGGTCTGCAGCTGCTACCAGCCCTTCTTCATGAGAAAAACGGTCCTCAACAGTTTCATTTTCGGGAGAATCAATTGAATTAAGTCCATTAAACAGAAAAGGCTTCTCTGAAATAATGGGGATGTTCAAAGTTTTCTTCAGAAATATACAGTCATTGGTAAAGAGTTTATTTGCCCTTTTAATCTGCTCCATCTAAAATATAAAAAAGGAATCACAGAGTTACAAACAAATAAATATGGAGTAGGGCTTATTACACAACACAGAAGTAAAAATATGTGCAATACTTGCAAAATGTGTGCAATGCTTTCTCTGGATCTGAGATTTTTAATTTGGGTTTTGTCGTCTCCCCAGATACCTCAGTTATTAAAAAAATTCTGTCTCCTAATTTTAAAAAAGGAAAGACTAGTTTCCCCCACTATGATAGTTGCCCTGCAAGATAGCTTTTACCAAGCAGCCTTAAATCTCTTAAGTTAAAAAATATGGAAATTTTAGCATTTGTGTAATAAATTCCATTTATTTTAAAATTTCTACTTCTGATTTTTCAAAAACTTACTAGTGCTGTTTTTTTACTTGTGGAGTGTGTCCTGAGCCTCTTGAATTATATTTAGTAAGCACAATGGATACAGGAAGTGGTACGGAGATAGGTATAAAGAGAATTGGGACGGAGGGTGTAGGCTGGGGCTGTGGCCGTTAAGAAAGGCCCCACAGGGAAGGTGGAGGACTGATTTCGATTCTTCCAACTTTAAATGGACCTTGAAGAATCGGTAGAAGTGGGACAGTTAAGGAGAGGAGATGGGAGCACTTTACATACAGTATCTCATTTCTTCTACCTTATGGAGTAGGTATTTGAAGATCCACTTTACAAATAAAAGAAACCAAGCTGACAGAGGTTATGTCCCATGGAGTCATAACACAACAGGCAGATCAAGAAGCTAGAATTTAGTACAGGTTTCTATAACCTCAAACTTTCATGCTTTTGGATGACTCCTCCAAACACAGAAACAGGGACAGGAGTTGGAGATGAAAAGGGGACTGGAACTGACACACATTATTTAACCCCATTGAACCTTCATGACAGTTCCACCATCTGGACACTAGCATCCCCTTTTCACAAATGAAACAGGGAGGCAAGAGAGTTAAGTGGCGTGCCTACGTCCGCAATGCTGGAAAGTGCACCCAGGGCTCAAACTACGCTGGTACTGAGTAAGTGGAGACGTGTCTACTCCTTTTTTTTTAACTTTATTTTTATTGTCAACACTATTACAGATGTTCCCACTTTCCCCTCCTTTGCCCACCGCCCCCGAGCCCCTGACCCCCCTCCCTCCAGCCATCACCACACTGTTGTCCATGTCCGTGGGTCATGTACGTGTGCTCTTTGGCTACTCCCTTCGCCTGCTACGCCCTAGCACCGCCACCCACCCCTGCCCTGACAGCGGTCAGTCTGTTCCATGGATCCACGTTCTGTTTTTATTTTGTTCGTCAGATTCCATATATAAGTGAGATCATGTGGTATTTATCTTTCTGACTGGCTTATTTCAAAGTGCCTCCTCTCATGCCCACGGCACCACGTCATAAGGTATCTGCAAACTTCTCCACCCAGCTGGCCTGGGGTTCGCACCGTGCTAGGCTCTTTACATTCACGCTAACATCTAATTTTGACCACAACTTTTTCTTATGGGTATGTAACTGAGATGGTTTGGGAATCTGACAGACGTGGTTTCAAATCGCAGCTACACCAAGACTGTATGAACATGAGCTTGTTAGTTTTCTCGCTGAGTCTGTTTCTTCATGTGTAAAACAGGTATCTATCCTTCACAGGGTTGTCGGAAGGACTAAATAACAGTTTATACACATACAGAGAGGAGATAGATAGGTGACACATAGATAGATAAATACATACATACATACATACATACATACATATAGAATAGATAGAGACTGTTTAGCAGAGTGCCTGGCAGTAGCTGGTACTTACTCTTCTCCATTTCCAATGAAGAAATAAAGGCACACAAGAGATGATTGGTTGGACCAAGTGCATACGGTTCTTTAAATGCATGAACCAGACTTTCCATCAGACTCTAAGGTCCATATAAAATCAGGATGAAAGGTCATGACTAATGGGAACAAATTACGGAGATCCTTTAATGCCAAACTGATTGAGTGAAAAAATTAGATTTCTACTACAAAGAGCCTGAGAAAATATTAAATAAACGCATTCTGTTCCTCATACCTTCTTGCTAAAAGCTGAATCTGCAGAAATAGTACATTCAAAGTCTTCTTTTTTTCCTTTAAAGACATTAAAGAATCTTTTGTACAGGGTGGGTGGTCTTTTAGTTAAAAGTTAACTTTTAACTAAAAAGTTAAAGGAAAGAAGGCAAAGGTGAGAAAGGACATGAAGAGGCTGGTGTACTTTAGAAAGATTAAAATATAAAAATCCTAAGTGTCTCTGGTCTAATTTAGGCTTAGATTTGAAAGAGCTGAATAACTTAAATACTTTATTCATAGCAGGTTCACATATCGTCTAATCTGCCTTCAGAACCCCTTGCATTTACCACTTAGCATGAACCTCTCCATCTCTCTTAGCACCTGGGCTTCCAATGACACTGAGCTCTTCCCTGGCTCCAGGGTGAGCCTGTGACTCACACCTGCCCTTTGGTGTGTCACAGTGCCCTGGCTTTCATGATAGGTCACAGTCCCATCTCAGAACAATTCAGAGATGCTGGGTCTGGAAGGGTTAAGCTCTTCTGTTTTTTTCTGCTGGAAGGAGACAGGCCTGGAGCTGCTGGCAACCACCCTTTCTGCCTCCTGGCGCCGGACAAGGAGGCCATCCTGGAGGAGAGCTATCAGACCCGCATCAAAGCCTGAAGCTAGGACACCCTAGGACCCTTCATCTCCATTAGCCCGTAAACGCCATTTTGTTTGGTTTTTGCTTAGGCCAATGTGAGTTAGGTTTTCTGCCACTCATGCGTGAAAGAGCCCTCATTGATACAGTACCGTCTGAAATGCTTATCGGCAGGGCCCTACAACTGCTAATCGCTATGGTTTTCTGGGAATAATAATACAAGACAGAAACAGTCAGAAACACTAGGATCTGATTGCTGAGGCAGGGCTGGGGATCCATAAACCGAATTCCTTCAAGACACGAACTGGTACTTGTATAGCCCACAATCTAACAGATCTTATACACAATAAGTGCTTAGGATGGTTGGATGGTTGGACGGGTGGTTAGATGGATGGATGGATACAGGTCAGAGGAACAGGTGTAGAAGATAAACCCAGAGAAGTGACCAGAAATGTGTAGTAAGTTATCTGTTGTGTTGGCTATTCTCTAATCTATCTCCCACTCTCCTTGAACCTGTTCCAAACCCCAGGAGGCTGACATCTTCACTGCACCACCGAAGGCCCCTTGCCCTTGGAATTCCTGTTGGTGTTCCAAAGGGAGGCACCCGAGAACCACCACGCCCTGCCCCCAGCGGCTGCATCCCTCTATGACAAAGTCCCTCCCAGGCCGCCCCTTGTCGGATATGCTGCTCCTTCCCCGGCCTTAAGGCCTCGGGGTAATATCGCCCTGCTGTTTTCAGTCTCAGGTGCTTCTCCATCCCTTGTCGGTTCCCTTCATTCTGCTCACACTTCTGTAAGTGCCCTTTTATTAAACTCTCTTTGCCCACACCTTCTGAGTCCACTACCTGTGTCATGCCAGGGTCTTTTTTTTTTTAGATAGATAGATAGATAGATAAGATTTATTTATTTGACAGAGGGAAAGGGAAGGAGAAAGAGAGGGACAGGAACATCAATGTGTAGTTGGCCTCTTGGTCACCCCCCACTAGGGACCTGGTCTGCAACTCAAGCATGTGCTCTAAGTGGGAATCAAACCAGTGACCTCTTGGTTTGCAGGCCAGCACTCAATCCACTGAGCCACACAGAGAGCTCATGCCAGGATCTTGACTGATACATCTATCATTCACAGCCAAGAAGCAGCAGCCAATGACAGGGAGCATGAGAGAATGTGACCGGCTTAAAGGCTGGGTGTAGTCAGGGAGTCCACAGGGACTGAAGGACAGGGCTCCCCTGGCTCTCGTCATGCCATTGTACAATCCATCCACCGACAGAACTGCCTCTTTAACTAGTCCATGAGCTTCCTTACATTGGGGCTGGAACTCGTACCACCTCGGTATTGTCAGCAAGCACTTCAGGTGCATGTTGACCTTTATAGCTAGACTCTGAGATGACACATGAGATACCAACATCAAGGACATCAGAGATGTTCAGACATAGTTGGCATCAAGGTGGAAACCAATATAAGAATGGGCTGTTTTGGGTAGGAAGGTGAAGATGGTAAATGAGTCTAACATACGGTAGTAGTTAGAATACAGCTGTGGGGTCACATTTTCTGGGTTTAAATTCTGGCTTTGCCACTTTCTAACCATTCTCTGTGCCTGTTTTCCTTTCTGTAAAGTAGGGATAATAATAGTATCTTACACACAATATGATCGTTATGAGGATTAAATAATTTAATTCATGAAAAACATGTGGAACAGTGCATGCATGGCACACAGGAAGCACTCAAAAATGTTTGCAGCTATATCATTAAGTGTGGATAAAAGTGAGAAAGCAACAGGTAAGAGCAGATCCTAACATGTTCAGCAAATGAGAAGGAAAGGAGATAAGAATTCCTCCCAATAAAAGATATTTCTCCCATAAAGTAGGAAAAATTTTTTTTTTAAATCCAGGTAAACAAGCCCGGGATGAGTAACACTGCATGTTGTCACTGCCCTGAGATGTATACTTTAAGTTTGTTTTTAGAGGCAATGGATATGCATGCTCTTCACTTGTTCTCCTTTCCAAACAGTGGCTTAAACCAACTACGTAGGCTCCAAACTCTGTTACCTAGAGTAAAGCTAAGGAATGAAACCAGCCATGCAAAATTCCAGGAGAAAAAACCATTCCAGCCATAAAGAACAGCTGCAAATGCCCCACAGCAGGAAAAAATGGTGTGGCTGGACCACGCAGGACCTTGGATGCCAAGGTAAGGAATTTGGATTTTATTTTAAAAGTGCTGGGAGGCCATCAGACAGTGAACAGAGTGCCATGATGTGACTACAGCTGAAGATCACTCTGCAGCTTTGTGGAAAATGGATTAGCATCAGTGGAAACAAGGAAACCCAGTTATGGAGGAAACAGCAATAGCACAG